GGTAGGGTAGGTAAGGTAGGTAGGTAGGTAGGTAGGTGGGTAGGTAGGTAGGTAGGCAGGCAGGCAGGCAGGCAAGTAGGTAGGTAGGTATGTATGTGTGATTGTTTGTTTGTTTGTTTGATTGTTTGTATGTGTATGTGAAGCTATATCTATCCATCTATCTGTCTATAAAGACATACATATATATATATAGACATATACACACACACACACATGCATGCATTATGTATGCATATGCGTATAGATGTACACACACATCTCTGTCTGTATAGACTTATGTGTCGAGTAATCCTCACTGTCTCTGCATCAAAACTGTTGGCGTTGCTTCTGTCTGTTGCTTGCTTGCTGTGCTCACCTACGCCTTAGAGTTGCCGCATAGCTCTATAAGGTGGCTGGAATCACCAATGTCATTCCTGGGGTTCCTTTTTGTAACTATACTACAAAACACCACACAATCCTGTTCGAATTATTTAGGACCCTATACTAGATTAGGTGTTGAATTTGGGGGCGTGTGGGGCCTAAGGCAACTTCTCAGATCTTCCAATACACACTGAACAAGGAATGTATTCATCCCACTATGAGCCATGGCATTGGATGATCTGGGTTGTTTAGGGTGCGCAATAAGGTTTCGGTGAACAAAGTACTGCCCTAAACCCTAAACCCTAAACCCTGAACAAAGTAATGGTTCTCGGGCGTTCATCCTCGGGCTTAGATAATCAACGGCTGCTTGGAGGTGTTCGGAAGTTCGGTCCCTAAACCCTAAACCATTGAACGGTTTAGGGATTGGGGTTTAGGGTTTAGGTTTAGGTTTAGGGTTTAGGGTTTAGGGTTTAGGGTTTAGGATTTAGGGCTTAGGGCCCTAAACCCTACAACTCCCACTACAAACTCCTCTTCTGTACAAACAAAAGCAGACCTTCCTCGCTTCCCAAGGCCCCCGGCGCACTGCGGGAAATCCTTGCATTGAAGAATTCTGGAGACATTCGCTGCCTCGGTGCTCCTCAGACAACACCCCCTGGTGAAGTTCAGGGGCTCCTTCTATGGACTCCTTGTGGGGTTTATATACAAGGGCCCTTAACTTAAGAACCTCCCTTTTTGGGCTTCTTTGTTGTGTGATCCTTATATATGTCCTTAAATGACTAGGCTCTTTTGGGGCCTAGGTAGGGCATACGTGTTGGAAGCCATGCAATGTCTGGTCTGTGCTTCAAGGACCTGCTGCTACATTGCGCACGTTTGCTGCTGAAATGAATACGTAATCTATCGGCGAAAGAGTACAATGCAGTCTTTCTGCATCTGTCATGTTCTGTGTAATCCCCCATATACCTACACCCTCCATCTACCCTTATGTGATTCCAAACACAACGGTAGCCCGCCTTAAGGGTGCAAGGAGGGTCCGAAGCCACCAAATATCTAACCCCTAAACTCGAAACCATAAAAACCCTAAGGCCTAAAAACCCTAAACCCTCAACCCCAACCAACCCCTACCAACCCACCAACAAAAGACGAACGAGACAAGACTCGAAGGTTTGCATCTCAAGCCTTGCCTGGTGACAGCCTCACCTAGCCTGATTATTCACAGGCCTTACGAAAATGGGGACTACATGGGTACTTGGTGAATATAAACCCAAAGGGTCCTATGTACTGTTGTGGCAGATACTTCCCTAAATCATACCTGTAATTCCTAATTTTGAAACCCTCTGTTCTACTGTGTAGTCAATTACACAAGACACTTTGGGAAATTCCGACCCCTACAGCGCACACTCCAGCTTTCGAGCCGAGCGTCGACTGGGCGAACCTCTTGCACGCATTCCGCAGGGTCGGAAGCCCCTGCGCGCAGTTAACAGTGTACCGGCAAAAATGAAAAAGGGTATGGTTTTAAACCCTAAACCCTAACCCTAAACTGTAACACAAAAATACACTATAAAGTTTAGGGTTTAAGGTTCAAGTTTTTAAGGTTGAGTTTAACTTCCCTCTGATAAACCCCCCCTCCCCCGTTGATTGATTTCAGGCCCAGGCTAAGGTAGATAGATACCCTATACCCTAAACCCTAAACCCCTAAACCCTAAACCCTAAATCGATTATTGAGGGGGGGTCGGTCGTCATAGTACAGTAGTACAGTACAGTATTACACTTGTACAGTACAAGTACAGTACAAGTACAGCACAAGTACAGTAGTACAGTAGTACAGTAGTAGTGCAGTAGTACAGCATTATTACAATAGTACAGTAGCAGTACAATTGGAGTACAGTAGTAATACAGCGGTAGAATAGTAGTACAGTAGTACTACAGCAGTAGTACAGTAGTACTTGCTTGGCGTCTAAAGCTTGCTGCCCGTTCGAATCCAAAACTTTTCCAATGAAGGGCTTGGCTTCTAAAGCTTGTTTTCCTTTGATTGTGTTTTGCTGCTGGAGTAAGGAATTGATTAAGGAAGGCATGGCTTCTGAGATCCTCTAAATCTGCAGTCTCGGAGCCCCGTGCAGAGTTTGTCTCTCTCTCTCTCTCTCTCTCTCTCTCTCTGCAATACTGGAGCGGATTCTAAGCAAACCGACAACAGGAAACTCTCAAAAACAATTGGGATTGGGGCGTCGGATTTTATAATTAAAGGGGGGTTTGATAATTGAGTTCCGGCGGTCGGGTTTTACAATTGAAGGGGGGGTATCAAAGGCAAGTCAACAATAAGAGCCCAGGCTTCAACTTACTTTGACTTGTACGATGCAGTCTTCAAAGAAGGAAGCTGGGCACTCTAAGTGATATGCCACTGTCCTTATTTATTATAACTATAGTATAATGGGCCCCAAAACACTGTTCTAATTACTAAGGGCCCTATATTTAAGGGCTCCCTGGTTCAGGGTTCAAGGCGTCGGGACGAGGGCCGCTAAGGGTTGGTAATCAAAGTGCAACACTCCTAGGGCTTAGGGTTTAGGGTTTATAGAGTTTGAGGTTTAGGGTTTAGGGTTTAAGGCTTAGGGCTTAGGGTTTAGGGTTTAAGCCCCATAGACGCCCTAACTCACATTATGAGCTTGAAGCCCTGGGCCCCTCAACCCTAACAACCCCTCGAACCCTACTGAGAAAAAACCAAGCCAGAAATCAACAAAGGTCAGTGAGCCTTTAGCATCCTCAGGGTTCGGGTTGAATTTAAGGCTTGGGGTAACTGGTAGCATGATTGGTGAGGGACCACAACGGTTCCCGATAGTTGGGCATTAGGGGCAAACCCTAAACCCTTCAAGGAACCTTTATGGAACCCCTTATGGTGGCCCCTTAGAAGGAACCCTGAAAGACCCCAAACCCGCCCAGAGGAGGGTTGAAGAGGCCCCCTAAACCCTAAACCCTAAAACCCTAAAGCCCTAAACCCTAAACCCTACAACCCTAAAGCCCTAAAGCCCTAAAACCCTAAAACCCTAAACCCTAAAGCCCAAAAAAACCAAAACCCTAAAGCCCTAGAGCCAAAAAGCCCTAAAGCCCTAAAACCCTGAAGCCAAAAAAAAGCGGAAGGTCCTTGAGCAGAGCGGTCTCACAAAAGGCGCCCAGGTTCTCCAGCTTGATCTTCTTCACCAGGGCTCCTCCAGGCTCTCTTTAGAGGGTCAAAAGAGGGCTTCCTTTGGGAGTTTTCTTTTTTATTTTTGTTTTAGGGTTTAGGGTTTAGGGCTTCGTATGGGAGTTTTGTTGTTTTAGTGGGGTTCTCCACCAAACCCTAAACCCTAAACCCGATTTTCTTCAGCTTTTCTTTAGCAGTTGTACTGGATCTTAGAGGGACCCTAAACCAGACCCCCAAACCGGACCCTGAACCTTAAAACCTACTCCAAAAACACCGAATCCTTAACCCTAAAGCCTCAAAAGAACCACAGACCCAAGACCCTAAACACCCAAAAGAGATCACCAAAACCTACAGTAAGCCCTAAAGTCTCAAAAGATCCATAAACCGAAGAAAGACCCTAGACACCGCAAAAACATCACCACAACTTACAGTTAAACCCTAAAGCCTCAAAACCCAACACACGATCCCAAGAGTCGATCCTTCGACGATGTCCACCACGTGAGCCGCTTGCCAGCGATGGGCCAAATCCAGCGTGCCGAGCAAGACACTCGGATCCTAGAGCAGGGCTTAGGGTTTAAGGGTTTATAGGGTTTAAGGATGTCTAGGGTTCATAAGCATGATAAGGATGATTAAACCCAGGCATTAATAATCAAGGAACTACGATACGGTAGGGGCCATAATAATAATAAGAAGAAGAAGAATTAGAATAGGGCTTCTGGGCTCCTTTATAGTATAACCGTAATAAACGGACCCTCAGAAAAAAATGTTGGTAGTTGCTCCAGCTTCTACATTCGGTGTTCTCTACGGTTGTTTGAAGGTTCCTGATGAGATTCTTTTTGCGGTACTCACGGGCTCCCTTGGAGGATGTACACAAGGGTCTAGGGCTTAGGAGCACGGCTTTCGGTATTTTGAAGCTGTAAGGGCTGTAGAGTTTGTCGAGAATTAAAGGCATCCTCTAAGCATTGCTTTAAGAGTCCTGCAAGACTTCTATAAAGGGCTTCTTTGCCGGTCCTATGTGGGATTGCTTTGAGCATTTTTTTAAGGGTTCTGCAAGGGTTTCGCGGGTGTTGTAAGGCTTTCAAGGCTTCATTTACAGGCTCTTCTAGGCTTCCTCTAAGCGATCCATAAGGGACGAGTGTTACGGTTTTCATTTCTTTTAAAAACTGAGGCCCAGAAAGCCCCGCTCATTTCTGAATACACCTCAAGGTATCTACTGCTTCTGGCTATCATTTTAGGGAATTTTCAATCCTGCAAGAAGTCCGAAGAAACTAAAGGCTTTGGTTTATATATGCTTGTTTGCTCCCTGGTGCTTTCTGTTGTTCAGGGATTCGGCTTTGCTAGAATTGTCAAGGTGTAGGTTCTCGCATGATTGCTTCGGGTGTAGATTTCCCGGTTTGGGAATTTAAGTACGTACAAGATCCCTAAACCCTAAACTCTAAGCCCTGTATCGTTGCGGACTTTGGGTTCGAGTTCAGGACTAAGGTTTCTGGTGGTTTCAGGTTTGCAGGTTCAGGATGCTTGGGCACTTTAGGGTCTGAGGCCTGTTCGAGGCTTCTGTACGTGGAGGTTTATTAGCATGGCATAGGGGCTCCGGTTTAAGATATGGGTAGATGGGTAGTGTTCTAAATTAGGGTCCCTTTTGAGGGTGCCGTGATTACTATATTGGGGACCCAAAAAAGGACCCTAAATTAGAGAACCACCCATATGGGAATCCATGCTTAGGAGCCTGGGCTTACTGTTATGGGGCATTATGGGTCCACGCTTCAACTTCAATTTCGTATATAGGCAAGGCTGGTTATCACGATGATGATGATGGTGATGATGATGATGATGATGGTAGGGATGATGGTGACGATGTCAACTACACCGGCCACGTCACCAACCGGCAGCCCTTGCAAACCTCGCTCATTGCGTCCTAATCACTGCTGAAACCGGCCCCCAAATCCTGCTCGAAACTCGACACCCCAAACCGTAGCAAACCAGCAAAAAGGACCAAACGGTTTAGGGGTTTAGGGTTTTAGGGTTTCGGGTTTAGGGTTTAGGGTACCTACCTTACACTACAAGGATTTCGGCCAAACATCCAACACGCTTCAGCAGAACGACACCGCTAGCAAGCTAGCCTCTCACACTCTAAACTCCCTGCCCTACAAATCCGAGGAGCGTGATCCGAGTCTGGCGTGGTGCCTGTGTACCTAGGTATCGACATCGTCTACGGCTTTGGGGTTTCAGACCTTGTGGTTTCTAGCACTCTGGGTGAGCCTTTGGAATGGCTGTTGAGGGATGTCGCCGGGCCTTATGGGACTTTCCGAAAATTAGGGTACCTTATTTTGGGGTCCTTATAGTAAGGATTCTACTATTTAGGGTACTACTTTTTTATTAGGGTCCCCTACTTTCGGAGTATATGGGCTCCGGCTATGCCAGGGGGAGCCAAACCGGCACAACGGGAAACAAACACGTAGGTGGTTAACTGGAGCCTGCACGCGCCGTCAAAGCCGGAAAATGGTGGTAAGCTACTACCCCGACCATGGGCCCAAAGGCGACAGTGGGCAGGGGAAATCAAACCAATGAGTGGCCAGGCAGAAATGCTAATTGGATTACGTGAGCGTTTGTTTTTCTGGAGGTTGCCCCTTTCCGTCAGGGCGAGGTGCTCTTCTCGAGAGCCCTCGATCATTCAAGGAAGGGGAAAGTCGTATCGTCACGCCCCGTTTCAAGCAGAGACATGGTTTGGTGGCATAAGATGGGGGCTTTGGGACGTGCCTTATAAGGCCGCTTTAAAAGCGTCGTGGTGCAGGGCCCTGGAAATTAAAGTCTAAACCCTAAAACCCTGAACCCTAAACCAAACCATAAAACCCTGAACCTTAAAACCCCTAATCCCTGAACTCTAAGCCGTAAACCCTAAAGCCGTAGACCATAAAAACTCCAAACCCTGAACACCTAAACCCTAAATCCCTAAATCCCTAAACCCTAACCCCTAAACCCCTAAACCCAAGCCCCAAATACCCTAACACCTAAACCCTGAACCCCAAACCATAGGCCTGTTCTGGGAATCACCTGAGGGGCTTCCTTTGGGGCTGCGTGCGCCCTCGCCCAACAAAGACTTTCTAGTTACGGTAGGGTTATATGTACCCCCCCTCCCCCCCGAAACCCCAATACCTCTTAATTTTATACCTCAAAGTCTAAGGGCCTCAATATTTTGATTTACCGTCTATTCCCTAATTACAGGGTATTGGGTTCTCTGGGCCGGACCTTCCTTGTACCCTCAAAGAGGAGTATATGGTCCCGAATAGTAGGGTTTTTGAGGCTTTTACCGTGAGGGTCCGTGTACCCATATAGTATTGAAGACGTCCTAAACCCTGAACCCCTAAACCCCTGAACCCCAAAACCCTAAAACCTAAACCCCTAAACCCTAAACCCTAAACCGACAGAGGCAGCACTGGACGACTATGAACCCTCGCACAGCGGACTTGAATGCTTCGGCAAAAGCACATGAGCCAGTGTTATTAGGGTTTAGGGTTTAGGGTGTAGGGGTTGCTCACTGCTGGCTTTGCCGACTGATTTCTGGGACGTTGTTGGTTTCTTCCGATCATGGCATGGCCTTCAAGGCTGTACTCAGTCCATGCATGCAGTCGCTTTGCTTTAAGCCTTCAAGGGCTCGCATGATACAGCTCGAACACTTCAGCATCCACGCTCCTCCTTGCCCGCGACTTCCAGTCAGTTGGCAGGAACCCGCTTACAAACCCTTTGTCCAGCCTATCCGAACCATACCCTGTACTGACACGTGGGCCCTAAAGCCCTGAAATAAGCCCTGTATAAAACCCCTACAGTAGACCCCCTTAAGGACCTTGAGATAATAAGACGAAAATCCCCTCGTCTTGGAAAATCACCGCACGTATACCCCAATGAAACCCTTACAGGAGCCCCTCAACGTCTCTTTAAGGGTTCCCGTAAGGAACCCTTTACGTAACCCCTAGGCTCAACATCGCACAAAACACCTTGCATAGCCTAGGCAAAAATTTCGCAAGCCTGAAGCTATGAGCCCTTAGAGCCCAAGGGGAAGGGAGGAGCCCTCTAAGGGCTCCTTTACCCTTACCCTCAAAGGACTCATATTTTAAGGCCTTTGGGCCCCAATATATAAGGCTTTTCGCGCTATTTTTGATGCGAAGCCACCCTAAACCCCAAACCCTAAACCGGCCTAACCCTAAACCCTAAACCCTAACCCTAAACCCTAAACCCTAGACCCTAGGGGTTCCTTTTAAGGAACCCTTAAAGGGTCGGTTCCTTCGATCCGGGGTGCAGCAGCTGAAGGAGGAGATGCACCGAAGCCACGCTGACTCCCTCCTGAGGCGTTTGGGGGCTTCTTGTAGGGTTTAGAGCTTAGAGTTATAGGGTTTAGGGTTTTGGGTTTAAGGTTCAGGTGTTGGGGTTTAGGATTTAGGGTTCGGGGTTTAGGGTTTAGGGTTTAGGGTGTAGGGTTCGGGGTTTAGGTTTGGGATTTAGGGTTCCTTAGCGGGGTTTACACGTGTCTCAGGATTCCTTTTAGACTGGGGCTCCTTTCTTCAGAGGGTCCTACTTAAAGGTTCGGCTTTTTTCCATGGGGCCGAAAATGGTTGGAATGGGGTTCCGTTGAGGAATCTGAAGCCCTTACCTGAAAAGCCAGGTAGCCCAAAATAATAGACTACCATACCCTAAAGTAGCCCGTAGTTGGCTCAAAGTAGCCCCTAAGTACAGACTACTGGCTTTCCAGGTAGGCTCAAAATCGCCCATAAAAAACCTTATATGGTATGGTCTTTGGGCCCAAAAGCCGCAAAATACGAGTCCTTAGAGCCTTAGGGTTGGTATGGTCTTTTCGCCCAAAAGCCTTAAACTATGAGTCCTTAGAGCCTAAGGGAAACAGATACAGAGGGGTTTACGGGCCTCATCGGGGCTTTAGGAGTCGGGCTCCATAACAGTATTGAGGGCTTAGGGTTTAAGGTTGAGGATTTAGGGTTTAAGGTTTGGGGTTTAGGGTTGAGGGTTTAGGGGTGAGGGCTTAGGGTTGAGGATTTCTTTAAAGGTACCTTCGAAGGCCTATCAGGGCACTAAACAGTCGGTTTACGCTTGAGTCAGGCTGAGTTATGGCTTAGGGGTTAAACAGTCGTAGACCTTAAACAATAGCCGCACGAAATCTAGGCCCCAGCATCCTAGGAAGAGAAAGGGCTCCCGTTTTGGGACTGGGTCGTTTTTACAAGGAACCTAGGGATCACAAAAAAGGGGAAAAAGGGGTCCACTGAGAGACCTAGAAGACCCAAAACTTACAGTTGATGATAAATATCCTGCATTATGCATAACAAGGAATATACCCATAATTCCCAGAGTTTAGGGTCCTTAAAGTATGGCAGGATTTACATCATCAACAGTGAAACTTAGTATGGAAGCCTGGTAGACTCAGAGCATTGATTCCCAGCGGCGACTTGAATAACTCCTGTCGCCCCCTCAAGCATCGGTGATGACAGGAGCGCCTGGACAACACCGATGATTATTGTCAATGTTTCTTTTGCCATTGTGGTTATTAAGATTGTTATATAACTCATGACTATTACGTCTTTGCTATTAGCTGCTCGGTGGGCTGTTTTGGTGCTAACGACTGGCTTTAGTTAAGGTGTTACGAGTTTCGCAGGGCGCTTACTGGCATGTTGTGTTCGCTGTTTTGGGGCTTGGGTCAACAAGCCCGAATAATGCTGACAGGGTTTTGGAACTGACTACTTCGGGACAATATACAGGAATGTGATTGATAATTCTCCGGACATCTAACTCAAAAGCCAGGGCCCCTAGGGGAATCCTGACATGCTACATCTCCTGTACATGGGCAGTTCTCTTTATTATTAGGGTCCCAATATGTTGGTTCCCCAATCTAGCACGGCACTCGTAAAAAAAGGACCCTCAAAGGGACCCCTAATTTTAGAGAACCACCCACATATACTCTACTTGTATATACTACAATATCCCGACAGCTCGAAAGACTCACAATTAAAACAGCTTTTCGGCCCAGGCTATGTGCAAAAATACTCGTCCTTGGAGTGCCTGAGTTAGTAGAAGCTCTCCGAGTTTTAGGGCAGTTCTCTAAAGTAGGGTCCCTTCAAACTTTTGGGGGTCCTTAAAGGGATCTATAAGGGTTTCTTTAAGGTAGTCTATAGGCTATAAGGGTTCTTTCTGGGCAGTTCTCTAAAGTAGGGTCCCTTCTAACTTTTGGGGGTCCGTAAAGGGATCTAGATAAGGGCTTCTATAAGATTGTCTAGAAGGGGACTATAGGGGTTCTTTCTGGGCAGTTCGCTAACGTAGGGTCCCTTTTAAGGTCCCCAAGATAGTGCGGCACCCTTACAACAAGGACCCCGGAAAAAGGACCCTGATTTAGAGAACCCACCCATATATACCGCTTCAAGGTCCTAGTGCGGTCCGGTTATAAGAAGGACCCCCAAAAAAAGGACCCTGATTTAGAGAACTACCCACATAAACTGTTACAGTTGCCGTTGACTTCTGGAACAATCAGAAAGAGGAGCTTGCTTCTCTGGGGTGCCGGAAAGTAGAATGGCCCTAAACCCTAAACCCCAAATGGCCTGCGGTTCCCAATCGAAGCCTTGGCCCTTCAAGCCTTAGCCCCCTCACCCCCAAAGCGGCACCCTCATGCATAAGCCTAAGCCCTATAAACCCTAAAATCCTACAGATTGATGGCTTCAGCGTTGATGGAGTCCTTAACCATCACATGCTCAACGCAAGGGCCCCGACCCGGTTTTGCGTAACTTCCATGTTGCTTCTTCGATTCATACTGGCGGAAGCCTCCACGAGCGCTTAGGCTTAGCCAGCCGTCGACTCTGCTGAGAGACTCGACATCTTCTCTCGCATGCACTGATGCCGGCACTGAAGCTGATGTCATTTGGAGCAATCTTGACAGTCGACATGTGTGCCAGCAAGAACAATGCCACCTGCCAGTTCCCAACCTTCCCGCAAGCACTGATGGCAGCATTGAAGCTAATCTGGTCCGGAGAACATCGTGAAGAAGGCATGTGGGCCAGGAGCAACAAGGCCATCTGCCACTGGCCAGCTTTCTCACAAGAGCTGATGCTTGCATTGATGCACATCAGGTCGGGCAACACCTTTACGGTTGACATTTCCGACAGCAGGCAAAGGGCCAACAGCCACTCACGACCTTTCTCACATGCACTGATTGCAGCAGTGTAGCTTATCCGGTTCGGCGACGCTATTTCCGAAAGCAAATGCAGGGACATCACCCACTCTCCACGCTTGGCACAGGCTGCCATAGCAGCACTTAAGCTGACCTCATTAGGAACGACTCTCGCTCTCGGCATCTGCGATAGCAGCATGAGAGCCATCTGCCATTCGCCACCCTTCTCGCATGCACTGATGGCAGCACTGAAGCTAACCTCGTTTGGCCAAACTCTCGCGGAAGGCATGAGTGCCAACAGTGAAAGAGCCTTCTGCCACTCGCTGCCTCTATGGCAAGCACTAATGCTGGCACTGAAACTGACCTCGTTTGGCACAGCCTTGGCACGAGGCATTTGCGATAACAGAGATATTGCGATTTGCCATTCCCCGGCTTTCTCGCAGGCACTTATGCCGGCGCTAAAACTGATCTGGTCAGGCAAGGCCCTCTCCTTTGCCATCTGAAACAAGAGGTGCATGGCCATCGGCCACGCACCACCTTTCTCACATGCGCTGATGCAAGAGTTGAAGCTGATTTGGTTAGGCACCGCCCCGACAGTCCTCATCTCCGTCAGCAACAACAGCGCCACCTGCCACTTGCCCACCTTCTCACAGCTGCTTATAGCGGCGCTGAAGCTAAACACGTTCGGAACTGTGCGCCAAGAACCCATCAACCAAAGCAGCGTAAGGGCCAGTTGCCATTGAAAGCCCTTCTCGCAAGCTGTGATCGCCGCGCTACAGCTATGAACATTTGGCACCGTCCTGGCTGCAATCACACCTACAAATACGTTAAGCCCCACCCGCCATTCCGTAGCTCTTGCGCAGCTGCTGATAGCTTGACAAAGAAGCCTCTGATCTTCAGCTCCCTTTGGCAGCTCAACGAGCTGCCGAATCGCGTCTTGCCAGTCTTGCTTTCCCCCGGCAGCTCCTAGAGTGACGACAACGGCCCTGTCGGGTGGAATGGAAGCCATCTCTTGGCACTCGATCTGCTAAGTCCTCAATGCTGACTTCACTTCGAATTCTCAGTTCGGTAGTGGGCCGACACGGCTGTAAGCAGAAAGAGAAGCAGTGCATGTCTGTTGGGGTTCTACCTTACAGTTTCCGGTTATTGTTGGTCTGGCCCCGAATGTCCCAAAACAGCCAGTACATAGGATGGTTGTGCCGATGCAGATACCCACACAGACTCTAAACGTGTTGCAGACGACGTCCATGACCACACGGATGATGATAGAGATCATGATGAAGATGGTAGGCATGATGCACGAAGGTGCTGCTGCTGTTGATGATGGTGACGGTGATAGAAATGATGCGATGATGGCGACGATGATGATGACGATGATGATGCACATGATGGTGATGGTGAGGGCCATAGTTGAGGACAGCGGTAATGGCGATGGTAATGGTCATGTTGAGTGTATGGTGGTGATGATGATTGTGGTGATTGTGGTGACGATGATGATGTTGTTGATGATGATTGCAACGGTGATTATGATGATGTTGTTGTTGATGATGATTGTGAAGGTGATTATGATGTTGGTGATGATGATCATGATCTTGATCATCAACATCATCACCATCATCAGCATCATCATCATCATCATCATCATCAACATCATCATCATGGTCAGCACCCATCGAAAGCTATGGGCACTGGCTTGACATGTCGGCAGCGAAGACGGCCTTCAAGACGGGGGAGACGGCTTTCAGCACCAAGGAGTGCGCATAGACAACACCTGCAGACATACTACGGCTGATGATAGAAATCCTGCATTACCGACCGACTGCAACATACTATAGTATACTATACACTATAGTTAACTTCCTATGATAATTCTATATTTATACCATGGCATACCCTGAAAATACCACAGGACGGAAGACCCGGGCAGGTATCAGGTCATGTCTTGGGCTTTGGATTGAGAGTCAAAGTTTGGGGTTTTTTGGTCTAGAGTTTAAGCTTTAGGGCTTTTGTGCTTTAGGGTTTAAGGCTTTGAGGTTTTAAGGGTTTTGGATTCAAGGGTTTAGGGTTGAGGCCTGGATTTGCTACAGTACTTCGAAGCCTGAGATCGAGTATGGGGAAATGGCATTGCCGAACAGCCCTGATCCCAAACGATCAAACTCCTGCCGAAACCAAAACCTGCAAGGCCCCAAACCCTAAAAGCCCAAATCCTGGAACCCTCAACGCAAAACCCTAAAACCCTGCAGACCCTATGACCCCGACCCTCAAACACCAAACCTGCCATCCTATGCACCCAAGGAGGCCCCCCCTAAGCCACCAACAGCAAAAACACCAGAACCCTACCCAACAAACTCTAGGATACTCTAAAGCCGCACAAAGCCCGACAATTCCTAAACCCTACCCCCCCAAGCCTTAAACCCCGAATCATACTCCCCAATCGCCAAGCCCTGACTCAGCCTGACCCCCGGATCCCTTCACCCCAGTCCCTCATCCCTACACCCTTATCTACAAAGCTTAAACATCCCTGGACCCCAGAATGCGTAAGAATCAAAGGATCCCTTTAAAGGATACCCTTGTGGACCCTTATGGAGCATCTTTTGGTTCGAAAACCAGTAAAAGCTCTAAACCCTACATCCCAAACCGTCAAGGAAGCCTAAAAGAAAACCCGGATAAAAAATAATAACAAAAAGCAGTAATAATGATAGAAATAATAATAGTAATAATAATACTAGTAATCATAACAATAAAAATAACAAAATTAGACAGAATAACAATGATAATAATAGGGTTTAGGGTTTAGGGATAGCGTTCTTAACCCTGAACCCTAAGCCCTTTCCGGGCGCCAGAGGTCGAGAGGAAGTCCTCATCCTCTGGTAGCTGCTTCTCCTTAGCGACGAGGGCTCTTCAAAGGGATCCATAAGGATATCCTTTAAAGGGATCTACTGTAGGAACCTGACTAAGAAACCCTGGCCCTATAACCCAAAATATATAAGGTTTCAAAGCTTCATCTTAAGAACCCTAATAAAGATGCAGGGTTTCTTATTATAATCAGGTTCCTACATCACAAGGGGTTCCTTCAAGGGTTTAGGGTTTCGGGATTGGGGTGTATAGGCCTAAGGGTCTCCTTTTAAAGGGAACTCTTGCGGGTATTTTGGGGTGTTCATTGAAAAGGGGGGTTCATAACGCATTTTAAGGCTTTTGGGCCCAAAGACCATACCATATAGGGCTTTTGGGATATTTTCAGCCGTAGGGTGAGGGTCTCCTTCAAAAAGGGAACCTTTAGGTTCTAGGGATTCTAGCGTTTCTGTTTTAGGGATTGGGATTTCTTGGAGGCCCAGGGGACTTAGTGTTGATGATATAAATCCTTAGCATTACCTTATAAGGACCCTAAACTATGGGAATCATGGTATATCCCTTATTCTGCTTATATCATCAACCGCAGTAAGTAGGTCATTATAAGTGGCGTTATAAGTACCCTAAATGGAGATAACCCAATTTAACGCTACTTATAACCGACTTACTCAGTCCCCTGGGCCTCTAAGCAGGGTTTGGGATTGGGGTTTAGGGCTTAAGGGTCCCTTTTCTGGTTCGGTAAAGTGCTCAAGTATATTTAATCACGAAAAATCGAAAAGAGTACGATGGGTTCAGGGTATAGTGTTTTGGGGCTGGGGTTTAGGGTTTAAGGGTTTAGGGGTGCGGGGACTAAGGATTTAGGGCTATTTTAGGGTCTTTAGACCCCATCAACAAATGTTCTAGAAACCCCAATCCCTGTCTTTGTCAAGCCTTGGCAAACCCTAAAGGGCCCCTGTAGTAAAGGATACCGGTATGGATCCCTTCAACGAAAACCCTCACAGATCACATTACACTTTAGAATCCAAACAATCAGGATGCTGATTCTCTGGACCCTGAACCCTGAAGCGGGTTAGGGTTTAGGGTTTATGGAATCCCAAAAACTTGGAAACTGGGTTTGGGATGGTTAGTGCTATAGGATCCCTGATGCTGCTTATAACCTCAAGGGTATGAGGGTTATGGCTTGTACTGTGCCAACCTTTCTGGCGTCTACCGTAGGTGGTTACTTTAACCTCAAGGACGAAATGAACCCTAAAAGGGTTTAAGGTTCATATACCATATAATGGGGATTCATAGTATAAGGACATCGGGTCCCTAGTTTTAAGGGTCTTTTGGTCCTTAAGATGCTTCTGCTTTAGGGGGGATCAGGTCTCCATACCCCGAGGAAGAGCTCCACAGGCTACGATACCGTTGATCATATACATCCTTAGCATGACCTTATCTAAGGACCCTACACTATGGGAGTTTT